ATTGCGGTATACATAAACAACATCTGGTTGCGTTATCATAAAATTTAATTGTGATCACCGTCACTGTTTATAACAATTAATACGAGATTGTATTAGCGAGAGAGACCGAAAGAAATGAAAACGAGATAAGTGGTTGGGAGATGTGTAAAAATTAAATTTAAATACAATTAATTATTAATTTTATGTGTAACATAAGCGAACAGGAATATATGATGAGGAATTTCGAAAAAAAAAAAAAAAAAAGAGACTTGTGTACATATAACGGGTATAACATATATGATATATTATACGCACATAAAAAAAAAGTTAAAAACAAGGAAATGTCTTTATATATCAGCGCGTTAAGCGAGTCGAATGGGGGAGGAGAGTATAAGAATGAAAGAAAGTCTATTGTCCAAGCGAATTGACACTTGCCACGACTACACCTCCATACCTATATACACACTTGTATTTGATTACCAACGACGTTCGGATAAATAAGTAAAAACGACACACTTGACAAAAAGTATCAGGTAGCGCGGCCGGTTGGAATTTGAAAAACGATCCAACGTCTTTTTTTTTAAACTGGAGACGTAACTGATGAGTTTTCTTCACAATTTGAAAAAATTACTTGCGCGTCATGTCTATATGCGTCTTTCATTAATTATAAAAACAGACATTGAATCGTTTAAAAAAAGAGCCATGCGTTGTAGTATACCTACATATACGCACGCAAATACTATAAATAAAATCGCGAGACCGAAGTAACATATAAAGTAGCAATAAAGTGCGGAGTTCAACATGAGAGTTTGAGAAACATCGTGTGAAGAAATAAAAACATTACACTATACAAGTGAATGAAAAGGAATTCCTTTTCTTTGCCAATGCGACATGTATATTTGCGATGTGAATTTTTTTTTTTTTTTCGTTACCGTATGCATATTAGTGTGACGCAACTAAAATACAAAAAAGCCGCCCCCCAGGCTCTCCTCCTTATAAATATAAATATAGATAGAATAAACATATAATATATTGTCAGCTGAGCGGGTACTTTTTTTGTTCTGGAGTTATAAGTACGATAATTTCATATGAATGTATATATAGTTTGAAGATACAGTTACACGTGTGAGAAAGGAAGAAAGAAAAAAAGAAAAAACCACGAGTAAACGATGTTAATTAAGGTTAATTATTTTAAAATGATGTGGAATAAATTACGTTAATCGAGTAAATATTCGTGATTTTTTTTCCCATCACCTACATTTCATTGCATATTAATTTCAGCACGTTCAGAGTCTACTAAAAACAATCCAAGACTCTTGAGCGATAGCGTTATTTCGAGATTTTGTACAAAGACACACACTCTATGAGTGGTGGACATCATCCATTTTTTGACATTTTTACCAAAAAAAAGATTGAAAAAGTATTTCATCGTTTACAATACAAGTTGAAATTTTGTCTCTAATGTTTTATAAACTACTGGAATTTAATTAATACATCTCCGGGGTCGTAATTCAAGTAAAGATGTGTTTGTAGATGGAGTCCTTTATTTCTTAATAAAAAGTGAACATTATTTTTTTTTTAATTCAACAGAGTCAATCTCGTTCGAGTAACACCACACATAGGATTCATTGACATAAAAAAAAAATACTTTAAAATTTCACGATGGCTTTGCCGATGTTTTTACCCTTTAACACTCCCACGAATGCATCAAACATATTTTCGAAACCCTCGGTAACGGTTTCTCTGTACTTAAGCTTGCCTTCGCGAATCCAAGCTAGATTTTTCTCGATTCCCTCCATCCATCGGTCAACCCAGCGCAGAACAACAAAACCCTTTATCTCGAGCTGATTGGAAAGCACAAAGGGTTGGAGAATCGTTGCCTTTGGTAGATTGGACGGGCCACTGTTGTAACACGATATGCTTCCGCACACCGAGACTCTACCATAGAGATTCATCTGGCTAATGACGGTGCTGGAAATCTCACCTCCAACCTAACGAAGTACGCATGAATTATCATCACTATTTTTTTTTTTTTTTTTTTTTTTTTTTTTTTTTTTTTTTTTTTTTTTTTTTTTTTTTTTTTTTTTTTTTTTTTTTTTTTTTTTTT